ATATATATATATATATATATATATATATATATATATATATATATATATATATATATATAAAAGTTGCATATGGATATAGCTGGTATACTCTCACTACTCGCGTCTTTTTCCATGAGATCGATCGTAACGATCGGTTAGTGCAGCATATGACTTGATGGTAACTTAGAAGCATAGACTATAAAGGTACTAATTAACAATACAACGAAGTCCCCAAGCATTTCGCTCCGATTTGTAAAATTTACCAGCGCTGTATACTATACATTGATTATCTACTATACTATGGTAACTACTGTACTTTGGTAACTAGTAGATATAATATAGGTGACTAAACTGATTGTCAATAAATGTACCGTGACGTGGTTCAAAGTAACAAAGAGAAAAGAATATGATGATAACCGGCGCGATACTTGGTCCCAAAAATTAATAGCTGATCTAAACTGAAAAAATATGTTGCAGAAATTTCTCTCATATATGAAACTCGCTCCACGTACGTAATATATATATATATATATATGTGTATATATAGATGTGTGTGTATATATATGTGTGTGTATATATATATATACACACATATATATACATATATATATATACACACATATATATACATACATACATACATACATATATACATACGTATGTATGTATATGTGTGTGTGTGTATTTATAGGACCAAATTGCATTATACTTAATTTTTCACGTTATCACAAGATTATTTTGTATCATAAAAAGGCGGATTTTTTCGAATAGAGTTTTGATATTAGTATACTACATATAACATGTATATACATAAATACGCAACTTTTACTAAATGCAATCTGCAAACGGTAGTAGCATCATCAACCGTTGCAATTTGCATACTAATTAATCTTCCTTCTCGAGATTCTTGTCGAAACGGCGTGTCGTTTTTGTAAAGCATTAATATCGACAAGCTAATAGAGATTGTTCTTTAAATTGCAATAAACTCTTTGTGTCATTATTTAATAGAGATTCTCTCGAACTGGTGTGTTATTACCTTTGTATAGACATTGTTATAACGAATATTTATTCTATATCCTTTCGTGTGGAGTGCGACGAAAAGAGAGTAGAGATTCAAACGGGTATTTTAACAGGCGGTCCTACGGTAGCGTCAGATCCGATTCCGTCCAACTTGAGGCCAGCGAGTATTTCTTCCCACGCGTTCATGCACTGTTGATAGTGTCTGATATGTCGGTCCGCCATTGAGATTAGCATATTTTTCAGATCCGTCTGTTTTTCCATATTCCACCTTTGCAAGTCACTTCGCAAATTCTCATTCGCGCATTCCACACGATCCTGCAAAATCTCTGCTTGCTTGGCTAATCGTGGAATAGTCTGACCAAGTCTCTCTAATTTTTCATCACGAGATTCTGCCTTCCACAAAGATCCTCCCCAACCTTGTGAAGGAACCGTGCAGCTTGTAACACCTACCAACTGTAAAGAGGCAATTAAACTCAATTATACGACTTATTGCTTTTTTATCAATAAGAAATTTTAAATAATACTCTATTTTTTTTATTTCTCATATAATAAAAATATTTTTTAATATTTATTTTTTGAGAAAAACATTTTTTTAGCATTTGTGTATTATCAACGCATTTGTGAATATATTATATTCGAATCAGAAGAAATTATAAACGACAAGAAAATATATACTAAGATAATACCTGATCCTTCTCTAATCTTCTTTTTGCCAATTCATCGACGGTTATCTCATATTCAATCTGCATTGAATCGCGGCGGGATAAAGCGTTCTTGACTGCCTCTACATACGAAACATATTCGCGTTCGTCGTTGGGAACATTTTCCAAAAGTTTCTGATGTGCTAGTGCATTCGATTCTACTGCTTTAGCGATTGCCAATAAAATTGGAGCAAGTTCTGGTTCTGATGTTGCCCATAGTGTAAATATGGGATGTAATTGGTGAAGCTCCAATAAATAATCTAAATAACATTACATGTACAATATAAGAATCGACTAGAAACTATATTTTATTACAGCTATAACATACGTAGTTTTATGTAGTTTCCATACATACCTTGCCTTTCTTTATGTATGCGGTGATTGACTTTATCAATAGTCGACAATTTTTCACTAAGTGCTGTACAATAATCTCGAATCTGCTCGAACTCCAAGTGATGTTGCTTCATTGTATATGTACTTGCTATGTTTTGTAAGGAATCTGTCATTTTAACCAGCACATTTCCACGATTTTTGCGGTGAACAAGAAATTCCTATTTAAATATTAATTTAAGTAAAATCGATGACATGAAATGTTGTACTTTAATAATGTTATACTTACAGCAGGTTTAGTTGTGAGAAATATATAAAGGTTTTTGTCACAACTGAGAATAGGATGATTCACCACTCTGTTCAGAAATATGTGAAGAAGTTTCATGCGAGCTATAACGAATTCTTTGGAATAGCGGTCTAATTGAGCAAGCAGCGTATGTTTGCCTGGCATTGGCTGTAATAAATACCAGATTTTATAAGCAATCCAACTTGATATCCCATTAAAAATTGTTTTTGTACAATTACATTTCTGTACAATAATTCATGCTATGTATAATTTATATATTAAATGCGCAGTAAAGACTTACTGGTATAACATGTGTTGGATAAGTATCTACCAACTTCTGACGAAGCCAGATGAAGTCATTATAGCGTCTACGGACTATGTATTCTCCTTCTTCAAATTCTGGGCGTGTAGTCTAAAATTATTTAATTGGTATTGTAATACTATAATTATACTATAATTAAACAGATAACTAAAATTTTATTTTAACAACATAGTTATACACTTACTCTGGTTGTTATACGAAATGTAATATAAGTTTCTAAGGTTTCTAGGTGTTTTTGTGGATTGTCTACTTTCACTTGCAGATCTCGAGAGTCTGTTTGAAAGTCTGACATTTCTTGCTCTGGTAGAGTAGAGAAACTATCAATAGAAGGGGATGCAATCTGTAAGATAGCAAAAGTTCCATAACATTTCTTTTTTACATATATCCTTCCGTTTAAACCATATATTTTAAATATGTGATACTATAATTTCAATAGACTACTCCAATGATAACGTAAATAAACATAAATAGGACACTGGTGTAAAGAACTGTCATAAGAGGTTCCAGGTTATGTTCGTACCACAGATCCCTCGATGGAGGTGCTACAGTTGGACAAGAAGTCGACGTCGCGGCTCTCCTGCTTCACGATTCCGCCTACCGCCATTGAACTTACTTCCAAGATCGCCGAATCTTCGGCACCTTTCTCACCCAAGTTTTCTACTTCCGACGTTTCTGTAGAAGTCATCATTTTTTTTGACAGTTAGACAACACACTAGATAACGCCAGCCGTCTTCACAGCACCGCGATAACAGTGCGCAGGACCTGTACGAACAATGACGGATTACTGGTAAGGTTTGGCCCTTTGGCAAAATTTCATATTTTTCTATACTTCGTATATTTTTCATATAAAGAAGAATCTTACACTAATAGTTACGTTTCCGTAATCATGGATACACATGAGGATTATTTTTCTATATCTCTTGAATTCAAAAACTGAACAATTAAAATTGCATGTCACTCTTGTATTTCATTTTGTTTAGAGAACCTCAAAATCTTTCTAAGTTGGGGCCCACGAATGTCTGAATTCGTTCCTGTTTGTGCAACAGCGCACGCGACACGCACATCGATCATCGATTCAAAATGCTGCGCCAACTTCTCGTGGTGTATACGGTTCTAATTGACCCACTTCATTTCTCTGATGAAGTACGTGTAACACGTACATATATTAGAAATAACGATCCGTTAATATCATGGCGTTTTCAACAAGAGATTATTTTGAGCTCTGGATTCCACACAGACAAGTATTATTCTCATAAATTTACTTAATCTGTATTTTAATTTGACATGCAACTCATACGCGTAATAATGACGGATAACATAACATGTGAGCATCGATGGCAATTGGCAATTGTTATCGCTGGATCGACGAGGATCGTTCACGCGGATCTCGGGGATACAGCAAATATTTGCGGATATCCCGTGGAAACCGTATCTCTGGAAACCGGCGATAGAATTGCCCGCGAATACGAAGATTCGATAGCATTTCGAAAGTGCCGATAATAAGGATTTCTTTGTACGAAGAAATCTCAACGATTGCTGATCTTTTGCATCTTACGAAAACTCCATCCGCAGCAATGGCCAATGGATACTGGTTGGACATGTCCAATTATATGTTCAGGAATCGAATTCTACTACGTAAGCGATAATTTTTAATTAAAATTAAGTTCATCAAATCTTAACTTTAAATCCATTTTTCATGTTAAAGCAGGGTTCACTGAATTTCAAATTAACCAATAGAAATATTTTTTTTACAGTATATTTTTCATAATAAATATATAACATTCAGAATTTGAGGAGAATTATAAGTGATGAAGGAAAATCCGCTGATTGCATTTTCTACACTAGTTTTTTTTTTCTTTTTCTTAAATTGTAATTATATAATATACAATTACAAATTATGTAATGTATAATATATATTATGTAAAATTATATACAATAGATCACTTTTTTAAAAATAAGTATTGGACGTAAAAAAAGGACAAAAGAGTGCACATTTCTACTACACTACTGGTACGTGCGCAGCGCTTCATTGCGCGCGCCACGCATAGAGCCGAAAAACCGCATTATGACACGCACTTTTCACTGATACGAGCGACAGCCGAAAAAAAATTCGCACATTATCGGCTATCGTGTTCCTTTTGATAGTGATGGCTTGGGTCGAGAATACTTAGCCACGCGATTTTATTTCCAAATTGAGAGAATTTGATGCACTTTTCTATGGCGCGAATTTTGAAACGTACACTTGGGGTTGAAACCTGCGGGAGATTTTTATAGAAGTCAACTTTAAATCATAGATTTACGAACTTATTTTTCATGCAGTATTCAAGATTTTTCAAGAATTAATAAAATAGGGAAACACTTTACGATAATCTGTCGTTTACAATGGGCTTTGTAATAATATGTAAATTAATGTATATCGCAAATAACAGTGTGTCAATTCTTATACATTATACATATTTTAACAAATGTATCGAGAGAGATATGTACACACACACATATCGTGTGTATGGTGTGTATGTATATACACATGCCACACACACACACACATATATATACACTATCGCTATATTTAGTCGGATATTATTGCCGCAAGAAGATTTTTGCATTTATTGAGCTGTTTATTACAGCATAATTTAAACGCTAAAGAAACATAACCAGACAAATGAGATTTGACTCGGACGAAATATCAGAAATAAACGGAAGGATCGTGGCGCCGCGCGAATTGCGTACAGCGCTGACCGCGACGCGGTCAGTGATGCCGTAGCCAAGGCGACCGTAGCAGCAGACTACAAGCAACACTCCGACCAGTCGTCCACCACAACAAAGTATAGAGGTTCGTCGGAGTGTGTCGTCGTTCCACTTTTCGCGCTCTGTGCCGGTGTCAGTGTGCCGGCAAACCCTGCGAGTCGACCGCGGTTTCCTGGGTGATAGAGTTGAAGGCCGTCGCTACCCGCCTTCCAGACCAACGGGAAATAGAAAGAGAGAAAGAGAGAGAGACAGCGGCACCGCTTGACGACGACGACAACGACAACAACGACGACGACGACGACGGCGACGACGACGGCGACGGCGACGACGACGACGACGACGACGACGACGGCGACGGCGACAACGGCGACGACGACGACGACAACAACAACGACGGGGAGACACGTCGTTCGGCCGCGCAAGTGCGCCCGGGCGCCGTTGCGTTTGAGCAAACGCCATTCATGAAGACAGGTGAGTGAGAGAAAACCCGGATCAGCCAAAAACGAAATGAACATACGATGCGTTCGACAGCTCGTTCCCGTCGTCGATCAGGAAGACGGAGATATCTTCACTATCCTTCTTCACAATTGACGCAATTGCATCCACAGAAAATTGCAGAATTCACTATTAAAGCAGGATATGTACTGGTACATATTCATAAGACTCAAGGATTGTCTTTGTTGAGAGTTAACATTTTTTAAATAGATATTGAGCATGGAAAAATGGTCGTCAGGATAATGTAAATTATTTGATGAAATCAGATCTATTTGTAATGGAAGTAACTTATAGATATTCTTTATAAAAAATATATATATATGTATAATTTTGAGATTTGATTCGGTTTACTTATATTAGTTCTGTCTATAAGTGTCTACAAGTGTCTGAGCAATATTTTTCCAAAGCTCTATTTTGAGCTATGCAATTTTGCAATAAATGTTTACAATTCTTTGATTGCAATTTGTCTAAATAATACTGGATACTGATTAAACCTGGACATTATAATAGAACAGTCTAACAGAGTAAGAACCTTTGTAAGTCTTTTGCTTTTATAGAACCCCCTAATTTGTAACGCATTGGTGATTCTATTATTCTGAACCTCCTATGGGGCACCTTCTAATATGAAGAAGCCATAGGGATTTTCAATTAAAATGGATTTGCCAATTACATGAATGCAATTTTCCAGCTGTAAGCCCTGCAACTAACGTCTCTAAGCCAATATGAATATATTAGTTCTTGCAGCAGCTTTTACTTCAATTTGTTTCAAGCATAATTCGCGTTTACACGTATAAAGAATAAAACTCAAAATTTAAATAATATATATATTTGTTATAAATTATATCAGATCTATATTTAATTATTTGGTGATTCATACTTCAGTATCTTTTTTTTTTTTCATTGATATTTGTTATTTGATTTCATGCTATCTATTTCTATCTATTTCTTATCTCTGTCGTTTTACTTTTCAACATCTGCATAAGTTCTCACTCTGTGACTTTATCTGGTTCCAGGTGTATTATTTCCACAGATTATTGAAACAAAAAAGAAAAGTATTAATGTACGAAAAAGTAATTTAGTGCAATAGATCTATAATATTTTTTTATAATTAAATTATATCTTATAGAAAGTTAAATATACCAATGCAATAGGACACATTTGTGCATTGTGTAGATAGGAAGGAGTAAAGAACAGTTTCTCCCCATCAGTCATGCATAACAGAGGCCAGGTGCAGGTTTATGGTATTATGTGTAGGTAACAGATACATGGACTATCATATCAGCCTAACAGTCGCATTTGCAGCAAACATAAAGATATCTCTTTAAATATAATACTAGATATATCTAAAAAATGAAATATCAATATACAATAGATAAAAAAGATAGATAAATATATACTGTGACTGTATTAAAAAATTAATATGTTTATTTTTACAAAATCTTTGTTTATAAAAAGATAAAAAATATATACATATATCATTTTTCTAACAGTAAAGCGTTTTTTTTTATTTTATTTACAAGTATTGCAAATTTTGATTTTAGTTGCATAAGCATAAAAAGTATGTTGATGTAATATTAATACATATTTTTCTCTTTCTCTCTTTTTTCCCCTTCTAGGTTCTACACTAACCAGATAAAATATCAAAACAAAAAGTATCAGATCTTGTTACACAATCCTCCTGCTCAGTAATATCAACTTACGTTATGATTTTCTTATCAAAATATAACAGATATTCCTGCATATTTTATGATATTATTTGTATTATAGCTCAAAGGCACATAGTACAATACATTATATATATATTTATTTTATTATACAATTTTTAAAGAATATAGTATTTTTTTTATAAAGAATATAGCATAACAAAGGGAGAGAATCATACAAGCTATTTTTTTCTCGCAAAACCTGCTTATGCGGAAGTGTATATCGCTTATTAGTTTCCGCTTCATTCCGAGTAAAAAGAGTCAGGATCCTGTGCTCAGGATAATGCTTTCTAATTGCTTTCGCGATGCGAACTACTTTCATTGATATGTTCAACCCTCTTAAAGCGAATCCTAGCTTAAAGCGAGTCCGGTCACGCGTGTAGAGCGCGCGTTTGGGGGTGCTTATACCTCCTCACCCCTCTTACCCTCCTAGCTCATTTCTTCCCCTTGATACATTGTGTTTGGTACCTGCCACCCCAACAGGTACACGCTGCCAATACACCATGACACACGCGCGTAATAATGGCAGTGACGTGTATTATTCGTATCGCGACTTCGCCGGGGCTTCCCTTTGATCTGTGGATTATTGAATACGCCACACCTGCGAGAAAGTACGTTATTGCGGGCTCACTTCTGATATAGGTTAGGATGGCGTACGGAACGTAGGTGGGATTTTGTCGTTATTTGTACTGAATTTTTTGCCGGTGTATATATGTTTCGTTCTTCTACGTGTAATTTTCAAATATCTTATTTGTGAAAATGTCAAAGATAAACGAAACGTTTTTCGCCTACAAAGTAAAAAATTTTGTTTTAAAGAATTGTAACGCGCGATAGTCTTTCGTTCTTTATAGTTACGAATCGGTTTATCGACAAATTTGCGACTGTGATGAAGCTTTATGGTGAATAAAATTTGTTGAAAATATTTGACAATATGTAATATTGTTACTCAATTTTTTTAAAATTAAAGTTTGACATAAATAATCTCGAGAACTAATATATTTTGACTAGTGTAATATAATAAATTATTTTTTGGGGTAATTTTTTTTTACATTATGAATATTAAATAACATTTTAATTTACTAATATGTTTATAATCTTTTTTGTTTAATAATAAATCTCAATCTAAATACATATGAGTATTTAGATATTTTTATCTACTTAATATTTTAATATTACCTTGTTTCATAATTACTAAAATATATGCCTCTTTTGATGAATTAATATTAAAATAGAGTTACAGAGGCATATTTTTCTTAAAGACCTAGTATTAAAGATCTCACCGCTGGGTCTGATGGTGGATGTTATTGATATTAAGTGAGATGGTGTATGTATGTATCTCTGTTATAGACTCGTCTCTCCAGAAGCGGGGAGGTAGCAGCGGTGGTGGTGACTCAGTGGGTGCAGAGAGAGGTGAAGGAGTGATTGCCATGACTACGACTGGAGCCCAGTATGCCCTCGCAGCATCCACCGGAGCTAATAACAGTGGGGGTAGCTCCACACCAGTAGGGGTGGAATCTAAGCCAAGCGTGGTTGTCGTGACTACTTCCAGTTCCAGTGGTGGTGGCAGTGGAGCACAAACTCAGTCAGCCAGAGGCCAGCAACTTATTACTGTTGTGACAAGTTCTGATCCTTCTAGTCCAAATAATCTACAACCTATTCAGGTTTGTAATATTATACTTTAAAAAGACTGCATTATGCCTCTGTTTAAAAATTAAATTCACTACTTTTAAGAATTATAAAAATATTAATCAGTATTTTGTAAGACACATTTGTCACTTTCTGTGTATCATTATTATTATGGGATATACACTTTTTCAATAACACATGACATATATAAAGAATGAATATATATATATATATATATATATATATATATATATATATATATAAAATTATTCAATATATATAATTTTTACTAGATACTCTGTAGCATCTGTCTGTAGTACACCTATATAGGTATTATACATCAAATCTGATAACACGTTCAAGCCATCTGCTCTTAGCAACTGATAACAGTAACACATAAATGATGCAAGAAAATCGAAGTCAATTCTCAGTACCGCATATATAATTATTAATGATATATTAGAGAGAAGAGAGGCATATTATTTAATAAATATATTATGAAAATTATTCGTGGGTCACAAGAACATGCATACTATAAATAATAATTTAGTTATTGGTTCAGGATCCGCTTGAAACAGCTGCAGATTCTTCAAACGGCTCGACAGGTACATCAGCACATGTTACAGCACAGGTAGTTGTCAATACCACACACTCAGGCCAGCATACACTAGTGGATTCTGACGCTGCTTCTACATCGGCTGGTACTATTGTTAGTGATTCTCCACACTACATAACAGTTACAGGTAATAGTTCAATGCACATATATTATCTAAGCATTAGGAATTGGTCCTTATTTTATCTTATCGCAATTTGCACAATTGTGATCACAAAGTCGAAAACAATTGCACGCTAAATTGTAGACATCTGGTTGTGCACCCACATATAAAGAGTAATGTTGAATGTAAAATCTATTTATATAAATCTATGATTTGCGATGAGTATGAGGATCAGTTGGAAAAATTATAGTGTTTGAGTAGAGATTTGGCCCTTTCCATGCTGCTGAAAAACATGCACCTCTGTTCTTCTACTCTGACTACACTAGGCACCAGTGATTCACCATCCTACGCATCCCTCACAACAGCTGTAGGTGAGGGCAGAATATAAACACGGCATGCCTTATACATATCCTTACATTTAATATAATCTATACATTTTAATTTGTGTAGAATTAGAGGAGATCACTGAAGAAAACTGCACTTTTATTTATCAATATTTGACATCCAATTTTATCTATATATTACATTAATATATTGTTATAAAAGTAAACGGAATTTTAACTAATTTGTAATTATTTACGAAAAACTACTATTTACTGCTTTCACACATACTTTATTCAAATTCAGTATCAACGACATTTACCAATTTGTAATTCGTGAGAATATCTTAAAGATTACATTTACGGCGATCAGTAAAATTTATCGTATTTATATATATATATATATATATATATATATATATATATATATATAAACTTATTAAGTACAAAGTATAAATATATATATATATATATATATATTTATATATATATATATATATATATATATATATAT